ACAAGGTTAGCCTGGCCCACAAAGTGAACCCTGTGTCAAGATAAAAGTAATCATAAGGTTAAAATATTGGGATGGATAAATGCAATTTCTATCAAGTTCAATATATATATATATATATATATATATATATATATATATATATATATATATATATATATTCCTTATATAGTACTAGTTCTTCCTTGACCATTCATTCAAATCCAGTAAGAACAAACATAAATATTTAAGAATACCCACATACAAGTAAAGAAAGTGGTATGCAAAATGAAAAAAAAATCCTCTTTTAAAATAAATAAATTTTTTTAAAAATATCAAAATATTTATCATGGTGTGCAGGTTTCTCTTACTGTAATAGGTAACGGGAAGAGTTCTGATGGAATGCTGAGAAGAGAAGTAGGTGCAGGGGAGAGACAGCATGTGCGTCTGTGGAAAGGATGCATTTCTTTACAGCGGTGCCTTAGAAAGCATGCAGGTGCCTCAGTCCCTAAAGCACTTTGATCTAATTTAACCAAATAGGTGTTTTATCCTTTTCATATGTGTGATGAAATTTATATAAAATAATAGCCAGAAAAGACTCTCAGCGATGTTCAACAAGCAATGACTTTATCTTAAATTGTGTTTATTGTGCCCGAGAGCAATCACACTGTAGGGAGAGTGGAATAAAGAAGTGACAGTTTGCCATCTAATTTTTTAAAAAGTAATTCTAAAGTAATAAAATGGAAAAAAACCCACATGGTCCTAGGTGTCACAATGGTAACACTCCTCAAGGCTTTTAATAATATATCTGAACAATGTCAGATATTTTCTGATCTTATCTGAGATAACCACAATTGACAATTGACAAAGATTTTAAGGGAAATTTCTTTTAGTGTGTGTGTGTGTGTGTGTGTGTGTGTGTGTGTGTGTGTGTGTGTGTGTGCATGTTTCTAGTTGGGGCTGAACTTATTCATAAATACTATAATTAAGTTAGACATGGAATGACAGAATACCAACTAACCATCCTTAATTTGGCAGAGGAGTCAAGTTCTTTTGCATGTATGGAAAAGAACAGAAGTTGAAAGAAAGTACTGGCTTTGGAATTGGATAAGTCTGGATCTGAATTCAAGTTCACAAATTCGTCTATAGATTAATAAGAAATTTTGGGAGTATCTTTTTCTTCTTGAAAATAAGAATTCTTTAGAATATTTTTCTGGAGATTGAATTGAATACAAGATATAAATTTCTCCCATAAATTTATAGGTTAAGCAGTCTCCCTCCCAGCCTTTGCCAACCCTTCCAGAGCCATGCTACCTCATGAGATGTGTGTAGACTGACAGATGTCCTTCTTGCTTATTTGTAACTGAATATAAACCCTTATATTTCTCATACTCCCCCTTATATATGATTAACAGAACTGTTTGTATCCATTGATAGATCTGGAAAGAATATCTGTCTTAGGGGAGGAGTGGTTACATTTTTCTTAGGACCCTAAAATTCCATTCACCCTTAGCTTGAACCAGTATACAACCTTATCTCAATTGCCTTTTCTGTGAATTTATTGACCATAAAAACACATAATTTGTTAACTGTATTACCAATATATTCACCTCTCTATAGTTCCTCTTCCTTTGAAGGTAGAAAATGCCAACCCGACATTTGATATTCTTGTATACCATCATGTCTGTTCCTGTTACTGCAATGCTACCACCATGAACAGAATCACCTCCACCAACACTCCGGCCCCCAAGTAACAGGGCATTTTGTGGGGTTTAAATCAGGTTGTAAGCATAAGTGCCCTTATCCTACCTGAGCTTCCTCTCCACACATACATGGTTACTGACTAAAAGGTATGTGAGTACACAGCAAGTTAGTAATCTTCTCTATGTCCAGAAGACAGCTTAAGCTTGTTAGAATCCAACTGTGCTGGGACCCTGATCTCTGACTTCTGGATTCCAGAACTCTGAAGGAACAAATGGCAGTTATTTAAACCATCCAGTTGACACCTAAAAGCCTTAGCACACTAAGGTGCACTCTGTTTCAGTCAACATTTTTCTTTATTTTTGGCATGTACATACATATTTTCACATTTATGTATAATGTAGTCTCATTACTTTCACATTCCATTACCCTGTTTATTTTCCTTCCTTTATCTCTGAACCTCCATTTCTTCATAATCAGTCTCCCATTGCCTAAACCACTAAAGTAAATGATGCCTCATTTTCCAGCATCCATTAATAGTCCATAGCTCCTCCAGAAGAGAATTGGACATCAACACTTTAGAGGTTTCCCAAATTATACAACAAGATAAAATAAAACAAATCAATAAATGTCCTTATGTACAGTCCCACCTTCCCTTTCTACCTATATTTGAATTTCAAATTGAAAGGTCAGTGTCATATGTTACAACAGAGAGCATTCAATTTACTTAGGAAAACTTCCTTTTAAAAAGAAAAAAAAAGGGGAGGTGTGGAGAGAAGCTGCCAAGGGGTTAATAAGGGGTTAAACGCACTTGTTGCTCTTCCACAGGACTCAGGGGAAAAAGTAAGTATATAGAAGTTATAATGATTTATGAAAATCACAGAAGTAGACTTTTCTCTAGGGTCTTTGACTTCTATGGCTTAGTTGAATAGGTTTTCAGTACCAGGCACAAACTCCTTCATGTTAACTGAGCATTAGGTTCAACTGGAAAGTTGCACCAAAAGGAAACCAGACTGGGAAGTCTTTTCTAGAATAAGGATGCCAGCAGATGTCAGGCCATTCACAAAATCCAAAGTACTCTTTAAGAACTATACTATATCCACTGTAGTCTAAAGATGGTAGAACAATATTCCAATAAAACATAACAACCTGCCAAGTAGGGGCCAAGTGGGAAAATAAAGAGGTAATGAAAACCAACCTGGGAACTTCTACCTATACCATTTAACAGGATAGCTGAGGCACTTGTGTAGTACTGTATACCAAAAATGAGGCACAAGGCAGGAGCCTATCAAGGTAAGAGTAAAAGCACTTGTCTACCATGATCCCCAGCACTGTTCCCCAGAATACTGATAACAGATTTATAACAACATGAATATGGTTGAGAATAATGAACTATAATGCAAACATGATTCAAAGGGTAAACTTTATTTGACACATGTCACTGAAATGAAAAATGCTTCATCTTTCTTTAATAAAACATGGATCATACTGGAATTCTATTTATTCTGCTTTGTATTGTTAAAATGATTAAATGAATTCATTTGACCTATTTATTTATCCTCTTATTTTATTCTAAAAGTCGAAAATTTTACTGAAAAAAATCAAAACCATTGAATATGACTTGCTGTGGTATTAATCTAACAAAATGTGTTAACACCAAAACTTTTACAGCATCTGGCAATCCTTTGTTTTATTCAATATTCATTGTTAAGGGAGTCATTTTGTCTTGGTAATTCTGTACTCTTCAGCAAGCTTTGGATGAAGTAGTGTTGCCTCTTCTCTTAAAAGTAGGCTTGTGACTATGTTTTCAACAATTTATTTCCTTATCCATAATTAATGGAAAAGTAAAAGCCTTGTCCATTATTTTTGTGAAACCTGAGACATTTATTGGTACCCTTATAAGCAACAATCTTGCTCATGTTCATGTTGGAGTAGCTAACCACTCCATGGGAGTCCCAAGATGCTATAGATGTCTTTCTATATGCTGTAAATGTGCATTGCTCTGATTGATTGATAAATAAAGCTGTTTGGTCAATGGTGAGGCAGAATAAGGTTAGGTGGGACATTCTAACTAGAGAAACAGGAAGAAGGCAGAGAGAGATGCTAGCTGCCACTGAAGGAGAAGCAACATGCCAACAGACAGGTAAAGCCAAGGAACACATGGCAAAACATAGATTAATAGAAATGTGTTATTTTAAAATATAAGAGCTAGCTAGCAAGAGGACTGCCATAGACCATACAGTTTGAAAATAATATAAGCCTCTGAGTGTTTATTTGGGTCTGAGCAACTGCAGGACTGCAAGACCAAGGGGCTTCGGGAGTCAGGCAGGACCAGAGAAAAACTTCAGCTACACCAAGATCTGCCCACTCCCTGTCTATCATGAATGGAGATCCCTGTGAAAAAGCACCAGAGATCTACTATTTTAGTTTCAACTGCTTAACTGATTACATTTCTTATTTGCTGACACAAAATAAAATCCAACATTTCTGATACTTGCATTAACTAAAGTTTTGTTGAGAATTTTTAATTCTTACTATAGCAATCACTTCTTTCAGGGAGACCATTAAGAGACTTAATATCACACAGTGGTATCTTAAAATTTTCTCAGTCCTTAAGGATACATATGCAATGCTTTAAATGAACACATCACTAACCATTATGAACATTCAAAATGACACCTAAATCATCAAAATGATTGTATTCTTGTAATGAAATACCATAGTGCTCCTTCAGTTTTTCTTCTTGACAATTAGAATTCCAATATATTACATTACAACAACCAATTCTTTTTAAAATTATGTGTGATAATCATTTAGTTAATGCAATGAATTTTAGAGCACATTTGGACTCTGAGGAAAAGAGCGATGTGAATACAAGCCAATTCTGGAATACAGAATTCAATCACAATAAAAAATCTCTGAAGTTCTGCTTTGTTTGAAGTGTAACAAGAAGGCGACAAACTCTGGAAGAGTAACATTAAAGAAAGCTGGCTGAAAATTACATTAATTCCAGGGACTCTCAGAGATGGCCATTCCATGTGACTTCCAGGGACTAAGAATTTTTCAGGCTTTATGACTTTGAATTCTGGTCTCCATTCCCTTTGCTCTATATACTTATTTTCAGATGTGTCTGCAATAGATTACCTATGTTTTTTCATGTGTCTGTTAATTAAACATTTGATAATTTTGAGTAAGGCTCTATATAAATGAATGCTTATTGGCTTACAGACAGTGCAAAGTGGCTAAGTGGCTCTTTTACTTAGATTTTCTACCTACAAATTATATAAGGAGACGATTTCACAATAGTCATGGATTTTACATACCAACCACAGATCCTCCTCCCATCCTTCCTTCTGCTCCCTGCAAGCCTGAAATGTAGAAGGAAAAAAAAATTCTTAACAACAAAATAGTTATTGAAATGAGAAGTAATAGGCTGAAAGCATGAAGATTGCACTTTCTTGTCTCCTTGCACAAGAGATAGAAGTAGCTGCTCACCTCCACATTAAGCCAAATTAAAGGGCTTTAAGAGGATCACTCGAAAAGAGGAGTGACACTGTAACTCAAGACTGATAAGTGTATGACTGGATTGAAGGATGTTTCACAGTTGAGCAATTTGGGATCTTCCTCTACTGGCAGGCAGTTGATCTCTTTGTGACCAACCAAATAATGATTATGGAGACAGATATGTATGAGAGATTCATGGTGAGCAGAATAGCAAAGGATGTGATCAGGGTAAACATGTGAAACTGTAAGGGGTTTTTCAGAAAGGTTAAAGGGAAGACATTGTTGTACAGGTGCCTGGTGAAGGGGAGTGAGGTTGCTAGTCCAGATGAAATGATTAAACAGGTTACATTTTTCAGGTTTCCTGTGTTTTAACTATGACATGGGGAGTCATGATGAAGTACTCTGAAGAACACACCCCACAATGCAATGAGAATGTGTGGGTCTGACATAAAAAAGGATATCATGAGTGGCCAGTGTTTCCAATAAAGAAACGATCATTGTATCATGTCAAAGAGTTTTCAAATCCACCCTAACTCAGTTTTCCAGTCTCAGATATGGTGGAGCAAACACAAGGGCTTTCAGAAGAGGCAAGATAAAGTAAAGGAAAAAATGGTGTGCATGCTCTGTTCAGTCTTGAGCGTCTTGGGGTCACAGATTGGCCTCCAGAAATGGAAAGAGGGCTGAAGTTATGAGCAACAGAAAGAGATAATTTAATATGAGACAAAAGGAGTGTCTGGAGATATGGCTCAGTGGTTGAGAGCACACAGTGCTCCTGCAGAGGGCTGGTGTTCAGTTCCTAGCACCCCTTCAGTGGCATCACCAGGGCCTGTAACTATAGCAAGGACCAGATGCTTTATGAGCACCACACCACCTCTTCCCCGCCCACACACACAATTAAAAGCGATATAAGTGAGGTCATAAGTTTGAAGGAGAGTAAGGAGGGATGTGTGGGAGTGTTTGTAGAGAGGAAAGGGAAGAAAAATGATGCAATTATGTTATAATCTCAAAATTAAAAAAAATAAATATAAAAAGAGTTGAAAATGTACTAGTTAATATTTAAGATGAAATTAAAATTTGGAGTTGAATTTTTTATGAATCATTCAAATAAAAGTAATTTGGCCAGGGCTAGAGAGACGCCTCAGCAGTTAAGAGCACGGGCTGCTCTGCCAGAGGACATGAGCTCAAATCTCAGTATCCATATGACATCACAAAAAAAAATGTCTATAACTCCTGTTCCAGGGGATCTGACATACCTGACATACAGACATACCTGAAGGCAAAACACCAACCAACGTACATACAATAAAAATAAATAAATTTTAAAAAAGTGATTTAGTCGCAAGAGTAGTCTGAAGGCACTTGCAAAGAAAATACTGAAAGCCTTTAAACTAACACATCTTTCAAAAAAATTAATTATAGTCTAACAATCTGAACAGTTTCAATTATTATGTACATATAGGCACAAGAATCTACATTGTGTGTGTGTGTGTTTGCAAATATGCACACCCACATGCATACATGTGAGTGTGAAGGCCAGAGATCAAACCAAAGTACCTTCCTCTGACACACATCAACACCTGTTTTGAGGCAAGGTTTTTCATTGAACCTGGATGTCACTGCTTCTGCTAGGCTTGCTGGCCTGCAAGCTCCACAGACTCTGCTGTCTCCAACCACAGTCATACCCTAGATCTGGGGTTACAGGACAGTGCCTCTGTGCTTCGATCTTACATGGGTGGTAGAGATTAGAACTTAGGTTCTCATACTTGCTCAGCAAGTACTTTACCAATTGATCCATTTTCCCAGCCAAAGAATATGCAATTTTATTGGAAATAGTATTTTAATACAATATTTTCTAACTATAGTTCCCTTCCAGCTATTTCTCCCTACTTTCCTATCCACCTAAATCTACTCCCATCCATTTCTTCTCCCTTTCATTGGGATACAAACAGGCATCTAAATGATGATGGTGATGATGATGATTATGATGCTACCAACCAAAGGAACAGGTAGGCAATCTTCAGATCTCCATTCTCCCTTCTCTCCTCCAAATCCAATGTTCCATTGTTATCACCAGATCTATAGCAGACTATCTGTTGTGGCCTCTCCTTTCTGTCTGTTCACATTCCCAGGTGGCTAAGTAGATCCTGGTGGCATACCCTGCTTCCCTCCTTCTGGTGAATCCCCTAATCACACCCCCTTCTAGCTCATTTCCCAATACCAAAAAATACATCCTATCTAGAACCCCCAGTGTCAACACTTGGCATCATCTCAGAGTCATTCCCTACCAGACAACCAAGAGTTACCACATTCTCTTAAGGATCAGAGAGGGCAAAAGAAACCCAAAAAGAGAGTGCCACACAACAAAGGCAAAACCAGATATCAGCACATAGAATCATCTTAAACAGAAATGTATTGGTAGAATTATGAGGCAACTCCATGTAGTTAAAAGGGAGGGCTTTATTTTGTGGGGTAACTTACAAGGGAAGGGATAGGTAACAGAGATGTCTTGAAACCAGAATAAAAACACAATAAGAAGTAAGAAAATATGTCTCTGATAAATCCCAGCAACCCTACTGCAGTGGGCTCTGAGAAATGCAGTATAGCTGAAGTACAACACAAGTACTTTAACTAACCTTTATGAATATGTTCAAGGTCCTTAAGGAGGAAATGAATAAATCCATCAAGGAAATCTATGAAAACATAAACAACAAAACAAAGTAAATAAAATAGTTCAAGACTTACAAATGGAAATAGACTCAATTAAGAAACTAAGGGAAAACAAGAAATGAAAAAGTTAGGAACTCAAAAAGGAAACTCAGAGGAAAGCCTCGCCAACAGAATACATGAGATGTCAGAGAGAACCTGTCATTGAAGATAAGATAGAAGAAAAGACCTTAGTCAAAAAATTAAAAAAGCTAAATCTAAAACCATCCCGGCACAAAATATCCAAGAAATCTGGGACACTATGAAATCTAAGAGTAACAAGAATAGAGGAAGGAGAAGAAACCTAGGTTAAAGGCACAGAAAATGTTTTCAAAAAAAAAAAAAAAGAAGAAGAAAATTTCTCCAGTCTAAAAAAGGAAGTGCCTATCAAGGTACAAGAGGAGGCATACAAAATACCAAATATACTGGACCAGAAAAGAAATGTCCCGCTGCATGTAATCATCAAAGCAAAAACAAAATAAAACACATATAGAATAAAAGAAGTCGCAAGGGGAAAACACCAAACAGCACATGCAGGCAGAACTATTAGAATAACACCTGCCTTTTCAATGGAGACCCTAACAGCCAAGAGGGCCCAGAGAGATGTTCTACAAACTGTAAGAGACCACACATGCCAGAACAAACTATATGTTCAATTACAACAGATAGAAAATGAAAGACCGACAGTGTATGACCAAAACAAATTTAAGCACTATCCATCAACAATCCAGCTCGACAGAAGGCTCTAAAAAGTGGTTCTCAACCTGTGGGTCTTGACCTCTTTGGGATTTAAATGACACTTTCAACAGGTGTCACCTAAGACCATTGGAGGAAAAAACAGATATTTATATAACAATTAAAAACAGTAGCAAAAATACAGTGATGAAGTAGCAAGCAGAATAATTTTATGGTTGGGGGTCACCACAACATGGGGAAATGTATTAAAAGGTTGCAGAATTAGGAAGAGTGCGAAACCGCAACTCTAGAAGGAATAGTGTCACCTGAAGAGGTTAACGACATACAAAAAAACACAAGAAATAAATAATCCCATACCAGCAAATCAAAAGATGTGGGCACAACACAGCAACAAAATAACAGAAGTCAACAAGCATTGTTCATTGATAACTCTCAAAATCAGTGGTTTTAATTCCTCTATAAAAAGAAACAGACTCCACAAGGATGATCCCAGCTTAGACTACTAGCAATAGTGGAGAGGGTGCCTGAACTGGCTTACCCGAGTAATCAGATTGGTGAATACCCTGTCTTCATAGAGCCTTCATCCAGTAATTGATGGAAGCAGATGCAGAGATCCATAGCCAGGCACCAGACTGAGCTCCAGGAGTCCAGTTGAAGAAAGGGAAGAGGGATTCTACGAGCAAGGGGCATCAAGACCATGATGGGGAAATGTAAGGAGACATCCAAATCAAACTAGTGGGAACTCATGAACTTTAGACCAACAGCTGTGGAGCCTCCATGGGACTGGAGTAGGCCCTTTGCATAAGTGAGACAGTTCTGTAGCTTGATCTGCTTAAGGGCACCCCTGACAGTACGGTGCATGAGCTGGCTTTTTGGAACCCACTACCTATGGTGGAACACTTTGCACAGTCTTGATGTGGGGTAAGAGCTTGGACCTGCCTCTACTGAATGTACCAGGCTCTGCTGACTCCTCATGGGAGGTCATAACTTGTTGGAGGAGGGATTGGGGGTAGGTTGGAGGGGGTAGGTTGGAGGCACAGGAGGAGGGAAGAGAGGGAGATCTGTGGTTGGTATGTAAAATGAATTAAAAATTCCTTAATTAAAAAATTAAGATAAAAAAACAGACTAAAGGAATGGATTGAAAAACAGGATCCATCCTTCTACTGCATCCAAGAAACACACCTTAACATCAGGGATAGACATAACTTCAGGGTAAAAGAGTGAAAAAAAAGATATTCAAAGCTAAAAGAACAAAACAGTATAGCCATTTTATTATCAGACAAAATATAATTCAAATCAAAATTAATCTGAAGAGATAGGGAAGAATACTATATACTCACCAAAACAAAAGTCCATCGAGGACATTGCAATTCTTAACATCTATGCACCAAATACAAGGTCTTCCAAGTTCATAAAGTAAGTTTTACTATGGCTTCAATAACATATGGACCCGCACACGTTAAGG